GATAAGAGATTCATTTGATGAACCTGATTATGCCCTTATAGATACGCTTTTCTCACTGGGTGAAACTTATCTATTTGCTCAGCTTGTTGATTTCATGGACAAGAATCCTGGAAAAGTACCTGCAGGCACAGAGTATGATTATTCCCATCTTACATGTTTACCATACTTATGGGGCTTGAAATTTTTAGGACATCATTTAAATATAAGTTGATTGATACAAATTAATAATTCTTGATTCTTATTTTTGATAATTAACCAATATGTAGCCAACACTACACAACTGTCTATCACCACAAGTCCACAATACTCCAAATTTCTTTCATTTCCTTATTCCTTCATAAATTTAAATCTACTATCTTGAATCGCCTAAGCAATTACCTTTTCCTTTGTTCATTTCATGTCGGCCTGTTTTTCATCATGAGTTTAGTCTACATGCACTTTGATCCATGTCAATACCTCTTCGACCTTTTATTGCTGGACCATGCTTGTATATTCATTAACTCAGTGTAGTTTTGACACCCATGTCGATTCTTTGTCAAATCGGACATTCAAACCTGGTCTAGATTCTGACACCATGTTCATGTTCGAGTCACAGTTCCTATGTTCCCGCCAAAAATAAGGTTCAAGGGCACGTAGATGTTGGGATGATTGAATGCATATTTAATATTATTAATTATCATGACATGCCTTGTTGATATCCTCTGTACTGTACCATGACATACTATCTCTTGACTTTTGACACCAATTATGGTAATTTAAATTTAGGTTTTTGTGGGAACTCGTTAAGTTTTATCTTTTTTCCTTCTTTTGCACTAGGACTTGCACACAATTTGGAAATTTTGAGGTTGTTGTGTTTGTTGTTCTCATAAATCCACAGGTCTCATGCATATAGGTCCCATCAAATTTAATTAAAGTCAATGAGTGAATTGTTCAATAAGAATGCCAGGACTTTTTTTGTAAGTTCCAGTGGTAGCCATTTTTTTTTGTCAAATCAGGCATCCAAACCTGAGCTAGATTCTGACACCCACGTCCATGTTCGGGTTACAGTTCCCGTGTTCCCGCCAAAAGTGAGGTTCAAAGTTACCTATATGTTGGGATGATTGAATGAGTCATACCATATTATTATGCCATGCCTTGTTGATATCCTTTCTGTGCTGTACCATGGCATATATCCCTTGTCTTTTGACACCAATCACGGTAATTTGGTTTAGGTTTTTGTGGGCACTGGGTTATTTTTTTTGTGGTTGTTGTTGTTGCACTAGGACTTGCATACAATTCGGACAATTTGAGATTGTTGTGCTGGCTGTTGTCATAAATCCACACACCCTCATGCATATAGTCCCACCAAACTTTATTTGCGTCAATGAATGAATTGTTCAATAAAATGCCAGGGCTTTTTGTAAGTTCCTGTTGTAATTATTTCAAATTATTAAGTTGCCTGCACGCTAACACTATTATGGATGGCACATTACCTTTTCCATTTTTTCTCTCATGTGGCCAACAAAATCAGACCTGTCTGCACATGACCGTGTCTTACACCACACAATAAAAGCATAAGCATGTAAATGAGAGTTGTCATGTGGGGGCAGCAGTATAACTGCAGGCCCAGAGTACGAGATGCAGCCAGGGCTGCCCCCGAGGGCACAGGCCAGCAGGAGCCCGAGGTGGTTTAGGTGGCTGGTTGTCTCAGCAATTAAGAAGTAGTTGATAGTATAGAGTTAATGCAGGAATTCGAACCAAGGAGCCAGCCGACTCCTATATGTATCCAGGACTCAGTTGAATGAAGTAAGCAATGAACAAACCTATTCCTAATCTCCCTGTTCTCTCTTAATCTCATCCCCCTTCATCTTAATCTCATCCCCTTCAACATAGGGCGTCCAGGGGATAAACCCCACGCCATTATCAACCCAAGCTACGAGCTTCATATTCGAGGGCCAGCTACCTTGAGCACCAACGCCCTTGACAAGAGCACTATCTTTTTTTAGCAATAGGACAGTAGAGCCTTACTATTACAAGGTGAAAACAAATTTGTTGTTTACTTGTTGCTCTCTAGTTTTTCTTTCATTGTTTGATCTGGAGTTGACTGGAGTTTTTTTGAGCTTGCGTTACTATGTTGGTACAGCTATCCACTTATGTACAGAGATGTGAGGTCTGCGGTTGACTTGTGTCATCGTGATGGAACTTTAAAGCGCATGGTGGCAAAGGATCCTGCCAGGTAACTCATTTCCTATTTCATGGTTAACTATTTAATACCAGTCACCTGACACAATTCAGTGCTAGATATTATTCATAAAGACATACTTACTTTTGCTATAGGTCTGCCTTGGTTTTTATTTTGGTCCACATGCAAATTAGCATTCATGTGTTATTTCCACTTTTATGTTCTAGAGGATCCTGCTAATTATGTCATTCCCAACTTTTACAGTGCTATATACTTGTGCTTATAATTATGTTATAGAAAATCCTGCTAATTTGTGTAATTTGAACATTGCAGGTACATCAATGAGGACTTGGCAATTGTACCAATGCTTGAAATGATCAGGAAATCTGGACGCTCAACATTCTTAGTGACGAATAGGTATGTGGCCGGTGGTGCCTTTATAATTTTAGGCTTCTTGAGACTTGTGTGATGACATATTTCTGTAATGTGCCCTATCTAGTTTCTCCTAAAACGAACCCATCTGTTAAAACTAAGGTTTTTCATCTTGATGCATTCTGCATTTTCGAGCTTCTTGTTACAATCTATTTACTATTTGGACAAGTACTCATTCATGCAGTTTGTGGGACTACACCGATGTTGTCATGAACTACCTTTGTGGGCCATACACTTCAGATGTAGGCTCTGGTCTCAACCACAACTGGCTTCAATATTTTGATATTGTAATAACAGGCAGGTTAGTGTCTTATGTTCCCTGGTTCCTGATTCTTTTGTTGCTATTTATTATTAGTGAAAGTATCAGCTCCCTCAACTTAGTAGCCAGTCCTTAATGAACTTTCTTTCAGTTGAAGCCAAGTTTCTTCCATGATGATAACCGTGCAGGCCTCTTTGAAGTTGAGCCTGATTCTGGAAAACTTCTGAATGCTGATATTCAGGCTAGTAAATTTGTCAATTCTAATCTATCTTCATGGCATATGTTTTTCTCTAATATATGCAATCCTTCGTGAAGATCGGAAGCCCAAGATCAAGTCATCAACACTCAACACCAGTTCAGAAAGTTTACCAGGTACTTATTTTCCTGATATATAATGTAAATGCAACTTTCTACCATTGCTATATCCTATTTATTGCTATATCCTTTCCAGGGAGGCAATGTTGGTCATCTCCACAGATTACTTTCTGTTGCTTCTAGTTCACAGGTATGGGCTATACACTTAGCAGAGATTCACTAGCACTAAATTGCACATGTGAATGGACGGACATCCAAATCCAATTAGAGGCTATTGGATCCAATGGCTTTAGTCCAATATCCTTTGCCCATGTCCGCAGCAACCCCAAGTGCCTGGTAGCTAGCCTGGGTGCTTCACCACCGTTCTGACCAACTTTGAGCGGCATACCCAGCCAACAGGTTCCTGTCGAGTGGTTTGCAGCGCATCCGCTGCCGTTACTGCCGGGACAGCTGTTCTCATGCGAAGAAGGCCACGGCGCAGGACTAGCAGAGCCGGACGCAAGACCTGCGCGGCTGCGCCACCGCCGTTGCCGCCACCTCCACCGTGACCAGTTTCCTGCTAGCAAGTATAAGTCCAATAGAATTTGAATTGTCCATTTTTTTATCCTACAGAATCCAAAGCTATTGGATCCATATAGAAGTGCCGAAATCCCATAGGATATTGGACTAAAGCCAATCCAATACTCTACACTGAATGTATCTGAGCATTTGAATCAAACATAATATTTCCTTATCTTACAATTTTGTAGATTCTCTATGTTGGTGATCACATATATGGAGATATTCTGCAGAGCAAGAAAGTTCTGGGTATGTTTTATTTATCCTCTACTTGTTAGTTGTATTGTGATCTGATATATAAATCTATGATTAAGCATGGCAGTTTTAATTGTGCAGACAACTTTTAATGTTGCCCCCATTTCATTAAGTTCATACTAGCCCACACCTAATCATAGACACACATAATATAACATATATGAATGCTGGATGATTGTATGGAGGCTTCATGGCCGGAAAAAATAATCTTGTGGCCTCGGTTAGGGCACTGCAGTCTGTCTGAGCAGACAGAGCGGTGCAGCAGCCTGCATGATTTGACCTATCTGACGATTGCGGCGGGGACGCTGAGCCACTCTCTTAGCATTCAGCAGCTCTAGCTCCACTAACGCTGCTCGCTGCCGCCATGAAGCCTGAGGTGGAGGCGGCTCCTCATGCCAGAAACAAAAAGAGGAGGTCGGAGGCACCCGACACACCGACGGCTAGCAATCGGAGGAGATGGGAAGCATCTCGCCACTCTTGGCGATGACAGATGTGCTCCACTCCAAACCTTTTTGGGGCGGAGGGCATAGATCTCGAGTCACCAAGAAACACCACTTGTATGGAGGTGGAGGAGCCGGGAGGCGACAACAATGAAAGGCGTTGCGTTGTGTCATGCGGCATCCCGTACACGAAAGTGGAGGCGCCACGCGCTGATGTGCGTCCGCACTGAGCGCCCTTAAGCCGAGTGCTCGAGTCACAGCGCATGCGGAGGGGCTGCACAACAGCGTGGCCAAGATTAGAAATAGATCAAGTTAGTTATTTCCTTATGTCTAGGAGGTTGGTTTCCTTTTGAGTTGCAACCATACGACTATTTAAGATTGTACTCGGCACCTTGAGGAATTAAGCAAGATTATTATCTCCTATCTCTTCCTTTCTTAAACCCTAAGCTGCGGTGAGGGTATAACCTCACCGGAGAAGACGGCCGACGGCGCCTCTGAGCTCCAGAGTCGGGGCCCCTCTCTGTCGAGGGTTTGACGCCTTGACAACCTGGTATCAAACGTCGGCCGATCCTCTCACGCCCATCCCGATCCATCTCTTCCACCGCACCACACCACCACCACCACCACCAACACCGCCGCCATCTCTGCTGCCGCGTCCACCCAACCCACCCATCGCTACCATGGCCGAGCCTACCATCGCCGATCTCTTCAAGGAGTGAAGAACATGTCTGCCGAGATCACGACCACGAAGGCCGACATGGCCTCCATGAAGGACAAGGCCTCGGCGGCCGAGAGGCGAGGGCCGCTGCCCGTCTTAGAAGGGTCAGCGAAACCGACTTCCACCAAGCACAAGAAGTGGATTTTCCCACTTCGACCAGACGCGTCCGACCCGATCTTGTTCCTCAACAAGTCGCGAGGCCTACTTTCGCCAACACCGCACCATGGCGGAAGAGCGCGTCTTGCGCATGGCGTCCTATCATCCGGACGACGCCGCATGATTATGGTTCATCCACCGCAGGCGATGGCGACGGCGACGCCAACGTGGGGTAATTTCAAGGATCTCTTGAATTTGCGTTTGGTCCTCCCCTTCGCTTCCGCTCCGCTGCTCGAGCTCATGGAGTGCCGCCGACGACGGGCCGTGGAGGAGTATGCCAACCGGTTCGAGCCCTCCCTACTCGCGCCCGGCCGGCTCGGCGAGGCGCAGCTGGTCCAGCTCTTCACCGGAGGGCTCATGCCGCCAAGAACGCTTCCGTCGCATCCACAACCCGGACTCCCTCGCGCCGCCGCCATAAGCTCGCCCGACGAAGTGTCGAAGTTGATGGAATCTGGGCGTCCAGCGCCTCTTCCACCGAGGGCGCCTCACTGATCCCACCGCCTTCGCGTCCGCCAACATGCCGCTCCCACCGCCTTCTTGCACTCCGGCGCCACCGGCATACCGCCCCAGCAGGGTCAGACGAGGGCAATCGGCCCGCCACCCCGGAGGAGATGGCCGAGCGCCGCCGCCAAGGGTTGTGCTTCAACCGCAATGAAAAAGTACTCCCGCCTATGGATTCTCGCCGACGTTTGTTCTTCCTCGACGGCGCGAGAGATCGACGACGACAGACGCGGGCGCCGACACCGGGAGGGACGCCGTGGCGCAAGAGGCGCCGATCTTCTCCCGCACGCAGATGGTCGGGCGTGCCGTGGGAAGGACCATGCGGTCCGCGTCATGGTGGGCTCGACCCCTCCATCGCCTCCTGACACCGGTTCCACCCACAACTTCATCGCCCGAGACGGCAGCAGCGCGGTCCGGTCTATCCATCCAAGCTAGACCACGCCTCACGGCCATGGTGGCCAATGGCGAGAAGGTGCCGTGCCGGGGTCATCGAGCACGCCCCCTTGTGATCCACGACATCGCCGCTTTCGCGTCGACCTCTTTGTTATGCCCCTTGCGGAGACACGATTTGGTCTTTGGGGCTGCGGTGGATGGCCACGCTTCGGCCGTCGGTGTGGGACTTCGTCGATGGCTCGGTCTCTTCCGGCGCCGAGCGGATGGTCCGGCGCAGCGGTGGTGGTCGCCTCGAGCACCGGGAGACTGCAGGTCTTGCGACGCGTCAACAAGCGCCACTCCTCGACGAAGCCGCTTGTCGGGTTCGCTGACGTCTTCGCCGAGCCGCGCGGCCTTCCGCCCCCACGCAGCCGCGACCACGGCATCGTCCTCAAGCCGGGCGCCTCCCCAGTCGCGGTCCGGCCCTACCGGTACCCTCGCGGCGCACAAGGACGAGCTGGAACGCCAGTGCGCCGCCATGATGGAACAGGGCTCGTTAAATCGCAGCGACTCCGCCTTCTCCTCCCGGTCCTCCCTCGTCAAGAAGGCGGATGGCTCATGGCGTTTCACGATCGACTACTGATGGCCCCCGAATGCGCCACCGTCAAGGACGCCTTCCGATTCCGTCGTCGACGAAGTTGCTTGATGAACTCCATGGCGCCCGCTTCTTCACCAAACTCGACCTCCGGTCGGCTACCACCAGTCCGTGACGCGCCCGCGACGTCCACAAGACGGCGTTCAGACGCATGATGGCCTCTACGAATTCCTGGTCATGCCCTTTCGGATTGTGCAACGCAGCGGCGACCTTCGAGCCCCTCATGAACGACGATTCCGGCCCTACCTTCGGCGTTTTGTGTTGGTATTTTTGACGACATTCTTATCTACAACTCGTGGGCGACCACCTTCGTCATCTGCGCGCGCCAGTGCTCTCGAGCTCGCCCGGCACCACCTTCTTCGCTCAAGCGCACAAAGTGCGCCTTTGGGAAGGTTTCGTGGCCTACCTCGCACACGTCATCTCCGCGGCGGCGTCGCCATGGATCCGACCAAGGTGCAAGCCATCGTCGGCAGCGACCTTCGCTTCGGCTCGGGCGATCCGCTGGTTCTGGGCCTTCTGCGGGCTACTACCGCAAGTTTGTGCACAACCACGGCACCGTCGCCGCGACCACGACGGCAACACTCCTCAAGAAGGAGGGTTCTCTGGAACAACGACGCGGCGGCGTTTCGCGGCACTCAAGGCCGCCATCACGGCGGCGCCCGTCCTCGCCATGCGCCGGACTTCACCAAGCCATTCACCGTCCGAGTGCGACGCGTCCTCACATGGGTTTGGCGCGGTGCTCATCCGAAGCGGCCATCCGATCGCCTTCTTCACCGGCCGGTCGCGCCCGCCACCGCTCTCGGCCGCCTATGAGCGGGAGCTAATCGGCCTCGTCCACGCCGTCCGTCATTGGCGTCCGTGCACGTGGGGGACGCGTTCGCCGTCGTGAAGACCAACCACTACGACTTGAAGTACTGCCGGATCAACGCCTCGCGACAATTCCCCAAACCATTGGATGGGGAAACTCCTTAACCGACTTTGTGGTGGAATACAAGCCGGCGCGGCTAACACCCGTGGCGGACGCTTTGTCCCGCCGCGACATTTGACGATGGGGCCATCCACGGCACTATCGGCCCCTCGGTTCGACTTGGACCGCCGCGCCATGTTCAGCGGAGGATCCACCGTGGTGGCCCTCCGAGAAGAGATAGCGGAAAGCCACCGTGGCGCGCCGTGGTCCGTGGTCGATGGTGGCATGGTCATGTTTGATGGCCGGCTCTACATCCCGCCATCTTCGCCATTGCTACTAGAGCTCCTTGTTTGCTGCGTGCATGAGGATGGCCACGAAGGAGTCGGCGCTGACGCTCCCACCGCCTCGGCGTGACTTCCACTTCCCCGAGATGCGTCGGCACGTCCGGACTTCGTGCGCGCTGCGCTACTTGCTTACCCGCGTTTCAAGACCGAGCACCTCCAAATGGTTCGACTGCTTCTTTGCCTGCCGGTTCCAACAAAGTGCAGTCGGACGTCGGCCTCGACTTCATGGAGGCTCTTCCGCGTGTGCGCGGGAAGTCCGTCATCTTGACGGTGGTGGACCGATTCAGTAAATATTGTCATTTTCTCCCCTTGGCTCACCCCTACACTGCAGAGTCTGTCGCCGAGGCGTTCTTCAAAGACATCGTGCGGCTCCATGGCATGCCGCATCCATGGTTTCGGATAGGGACCCGTCTTCACTTCCACATTCGGCGGGGAGCTCATCGCGTCTCATGGGGCGCTGGTTACACATGACAACGGCCTTCCACCCGCAATCGGCGGACGACGAGATGGCGCGGCCAATCGAAGTCATCGCCATGTACCTCCGTTGCTTCACCGGGCGACCGCCATGCGCGATCGCTCCGGTGGTCGCCATGGGCGGAGTTCACCTACAATATCGCCTACCGATCGTCATCTGCGGAGACGCCGTTCCGGTGGTCTCACGGCGCGACCCCCCACCATCGTCGTATGAGCGAGCGACACGCGCGTGGCGGATGCGCCGCCAAGACCATGGCTGAACGCGCCCGCTTTCTGGAGGGGCGTCAAATATCGCTGGAGCAAGCCCAGCCACCTGAGCGCGTCTCGACAAGTCACACCGGCCGGGTGGCGTGCCGCGTGGGGGGACCGGGTTCTTCTCCGTCTTCGCTAACGCCCGATGGCGTCCCCGGCCGTCATTGTCAAAGGGAAGCTCCAGCCCAAGTATTTTGGGCGTCTGCGTCCGGAACTCATCAACGAGGTTGTTGTCCGCCTTGAGTTGCCTCCACGCCAAGATCCACGATGTCTTCCACGTGAGCCTTACGAAGAAGTGGATTGGACCAAAGACCGACATACTCCACCTCCTCTACCGCGGTTCATCATGGCGCGGTCGTCCCGAACCGAGAGAAGGTTGTTCGGGGCCGTCGGCTCGTGGGCGTCCAGCAAGTGCTCGTCTTGTTGGAAGGGTGAACCGGCATCCTCTCGCTACATGGGAAGACAAGGCCGACTTCGTCACCAAGTACCACCTTTCGGCTCGAGGACGAGCCGGTCGTCGAGGGGAGAGATGTCATGTGCGGCATCCCAGACACCAGTGAGGCGCCAGCGCGCTGATGATGTCGTCGGGCATTGTGGCCCATGCCAAAGCTGTGCTCGAGCCACAGATGCGAGGGGCTGCAGCACAGACAGCGTGGCCAAGATTAGAAATAGATCAAGTTAGTTATTTCCTTATGTCTAGGAGGTTGGTTTCCTTTTGAGTTGCAGCCGCACGGCTATTTAAGATTGTACTCGGCACCTTGAGGAATTAAGCAAGATTATTATCTCCTATCTCTTCCTTTCTTAAACCCTAAGCCTGCGGTAGAGGGGTATAACCTCACAGGAGAAGACGAGCAAACTTACATACGGCTTCCCCTTTCAGGAAACCGCAAGCACTTAGCACAAACCTTAGGGATTACCTTACAAGCGTAGGAAGCTAGATAGCTAGATGGCCTTTCTTAAACCCTAAGCCTGCGGTAGAGGGGTATAACCTCACAGGAGAAGACGGCCGACGGCTACGAGCTCCGTAGCCGGGGCCCTGCCTGTCGGGGGTTTGACGCCCTTGACACGTTGATTACATCAGCGCCCTACCCGATGGCGTTCTCGGTGACATCATCTCCCTCCTGCCCACCAAGGATGCTGGTTGAGTCCCCAACCCTAGCCAAACGATGGAAGCACCTATGGCACTCTACCTTGCTCAACCTCGATTGCCATGACCTCCCAGGCTTCCTCACAGACGACGACACTCTCGCCTCGCCATCTCCCGGATCCTCTCCAGTCCGCCGCTTTCTTCTCACGTCGGACAAGTCTCCTCAATACTCATCCCGCACTGCACCCCCTGCTCTCAACAATCTCGAGGAGCTCTGCATCTTAGCCTACCTAATGGGTGGACCATGATTCCTGCCACTTCCAACACTGCTGCTGCCCATTTTCCGCTTCACCTTAGCCTCAAGCGTCCGCCTCTCTCTCACCGACGCAGCCATCCACACACTCCACTTCCCCAAGCTAAAGAAGCTCGCACTTGAACATGTCAGCATTTCGGAGGGCTCGTTGCATAGAGTGCTTGCCAGCTGCCCTATCCTCGAGTGCCTACTGCTTGTCCACAGTTTTGGCTTTCGTCGGCTCCGCATCAATTCTTCTAGCCTCAAAAGCATTGGCGTGTGATGCTTGTGAAATAATCATTAAGGAAACCTTAGATTGGTGCTGATCCATCCAAATGCACACAAGGACGGCATTGCACCGTGTCAGATGTAAAGCATGTAACATAACAACACAAAAGGTTAGCGTGTGTCACACACACAATCGCACTCACACTACCCTTTTTCATGTCTCTATCTATACCCCCACCGCCCACGGCGAGGAAGGGAGAACTGGAAACTGATGCCAACCCACCTCACGCTCCATTGCTCGCGCGCTCCCTCCGCCATGGCCTCCTTGGCCAGCGTCCCTGCAGAGATCCTCGTCCTAATCTTCACCTACCTGCAGTGCTTCACCGACCTCACGAGCATTGCGGGCGTCTGCAAAGACTGGCGCAACGCCGTGCACGTGCCAACAAATACTTGGAACAAGCAAATTCAGGAAGATCTGATACATCTAAGAACAAATATCAGGTTAATCTCATACAAGAGTGCCTGTGAAGCATCGCTGTTGTGTTCACTGTTCCTCAAGAGCACTAGGGCCTTCTTAGTCCCAAGGTTGAGGTGGACGAGCCCAATCCTCCGTCCAGATGTTCCACTGCTCTCCCCGAACACACCGAACCGGATTGGCTGGTATGCGTCGAACCCCCTTGGATAGTTCCATCCGCACTATCTTTTAGCATAGGTGCTGATCTGATCAGAATGTTTAAGAAACCAAGGTCATGATCCATTCAATCCTTTGATTTCCACCACCTCGAGATTAGTCAATGAGATGTGTCGATTTTTCCTGATGTACTCCATGTAATGGCCATATTGTTTCTTAGTTGAGCAAATGCCACGCTCCTATAGAAGAGTCAATAAAGTACACCACATTAGCTACTAATGTTTAGTATTAGGTAGCTAGAGATCTTATTTAAGGTGTATGAAGTGAAGTTATATACACTGACTTGAGAAAGGAAGAGCTGGAGCTTTTGTATGACATTCAGAGTCTTGAGCAGCTCCAACACAAGTGTTCCAAAAGCTAAAGCACACCGGTCTCCATTCGCAGATGAAGCATAAAAATAGAAAAATTGTTTACTGGAAGGGCGTATTATTTCTTCTGTAAAGCTCTGTCTTGCTTCTACAGACATACCCTGCTAAACAATGTGATTAGCATATGTTGTGAAAATAAATTAAATTATGCAGTAGATCAACACACGTACATAGCCGCTGAAAAGTATCACTATGCATAGCACACAGATACGTAAGCTGACAGTATTATTGAGCTCTGTGTATTGGCTGCTCCACTCCATGGTGGTGGACAAACTCATAAGGTGCAAATAGAAACCAAATCCAATGAAACGAGACAATGTGGAGAAATACGAGAACAAGAGCGAATCGACTGTGGGCGCCTTGAACGACGTGATCAAGTCATGGTTTCCACTGGATTGCAGCCTGAATTTGTTGAGCTCGGCTGCTTGGACGTTGAGACGATGTGGCGTGACATCCACAACAGTAATAGGCACGACTCAACATGATCTCTTTGAGCGACCCCGAGCTAATAACACAAACACAAAAGGTGAACGCGTGTCACACACACGCTACCCTTTCTCAAGTCTATCTATACCCCCACCGCCCACACCGAGGAAGTGAGAACTGGAAACTGATGCCAACCCACCTCACGCTCCATTGCTCGCGCGCTCCCTCTGCCATTGCCTCCTTGGCCAGCGTCCCTGCAGAGATACTCGTCCTCATCTTCACCAACCTTCAGTGCTTCGCCGACCTCTCGAGCATTGCGGGCGCCTGCAAAGACTGGCGCAACGCCGTGCACGTGCCAACAAATACTTGGAACAAGCAAATTCAGGAAGACCCGATACATCTAAGAACAGATATCAGGTTAATCTCATACAAGAGTGTCTGTGAAGCATCGCTGTTGTGTTCACTGTTCCTCAAGAGCACTAGGGCCTTCTTAGTCCCAAGATTGAGGTGGACGGGCCCAATCCTCTCCGTCCAGATGTTCCACTGGACTCCCCAAACACACGGAATCAGATTGGCTGGTATGCGTCGAACCCCGTTGGATAGTTCCATCCGCACTATCTTTAGCATTGGCGCAGATTTGATCGGAATGTTTAAGAAACCATGGTTGTGATCCATTGAATCCTTTGATTTCCACCACCTCGAGATTAGTCAATGAGATGTGTCGATTTCTCCCGATGTCCTCCATGTAATGGCCATATTCTTTCTTAGTTGAGCAAATGCCACGCTCCTACAGAAGAGTCAATAAAGTACACCACATTAGCCACTGATGTTTAGTATTAGCTAGCTAGAGAACTTCACTAAGGTGTATGAAGTGAAGTTATATACACTGACTTGAGGAAGGATGAGCTGGAGGTTTTGTATGACATTCAGAGTCTTGAGCAGCTCCAACACAAGTGTTCCAAAAGCTAAAGCACACCGGTCCTCCATTCGGAGATGAAGCATAGAAATAGAAAAATTGTTTAGTGGAAGGGCGTATTATTTCTTCCGTAAAACTCCGTCTTGCTTCTACAGACGTACCTGCTAAACAATGTGATTAGCATATGTTGTGCAAATAAAAATGACAAAATTCATTGAAGGTTGGGAAATTAAATTGTGCAGTAGATCAACACACGTACATAGCCGCTGGCAAGTATCACCATGCATAGCACACGGATGCGTAAGCCGGCAGGATTATTGAGCTCTGTGTATTTGCTGCTCCATTCCATTGAGGTGGACAAACTCATAAGGTGCAAATCGAGACCAAATCCAATGAAACGAGATAATGTGGAGAAATACGAGAACAAGAGCGAATCGACCGTGGGCGCCTCGAACGACGTGATCAAGTCACGGTTCCCACTGGATTGCAGCCTGAATTTGTTGAGCTCGGCTGCTTGGACGTTGAGACGCTGTGGCGTGACATCCACAACAGGAACAAGCACGGCCCTCAACATGATCTCCTCGAGCGACCCTAAGCTAATAACACAAACACAAAAGGTGAACTTGTGTCACACACACACACACTACCCTTTTTCAAGTCTCTATCTATACCCCCACCTCCCACACTGAGGAAGGGAGAACTGGAAATTGATCCCCACCAACCTCACGCTCCATTGCTCGCGTGCTCCCTCTGCCATGGCCTCCTTGGCCAGCGTCCCTGTAGAGAACCTCGTCCTAATCTTCACCTACCTGCAGTGCTTCGCCGACCTCACGAGCATTGCGGGCGTCTGCAAAGACTGGCGCAACGCTGTGCACGTGCCAACAAGTACTTGGAACAAGCAAATTCAGGAAGACCCGATACATCTAAGAACAGATATCACATTAATCTCATACAAGAGTGCCTGTGAAGCATCGCTGTTGTGTTCACTATTCCTCAAGAGCACTAGGGCCTTCTTAGTCCCAAGGTTGAGGTGGACGGGCCCAATCCTCTCTATCCAGATGTTCCACTGTTCTCCCCAAACACACGGAACCGGATTGGCTGGTATGTGTCGAGAACACTGGCAAGCGGCCTGTCAATCTCCCTCCTTCGGATCACCTCCTATCGACACAAACTGTCGTCAGCTGGGAGACGACGACAAGGAAAGGGCGTCGATTACATCAGCGCCCTCCCCGACGGCGTTCTCGTCGATTACATCAGCGCCTTCCCCGACGGCGTTCTCGGTGATATCATCTCCTTTCTGCCCACCAAGGACGCCGGTCGTGTCCCAACCCTAGCCAAACGATGGAAGCACCTATGGCGCTCCGCCTTGCTCAACCTCGACTGCCACGACCTCCCTAGATTCCCCGCAGACGATGATGCTCTCGCCGTCGCCAGTCTCTAGCAAATCCCTATCCCTCTCTGTAGTCTCTATCTATACCCCGAGGAAGGGAGAACTGGAAACCACCTCACGCTCCATTGCATGCACACTCCCTCCGCCATGGCCTCCTTGGCCAGCGTCCCTGTAGAGATCCTCATCCTCATCTTCACCTACCTGCGGTGCTTCGCCATTGCACTGTGTCGAATGTAAAGCATGTAACATAACACAAACACAAAAGGTGAATGTGTGTCACACACACAAAATCACACAATCACACTCACGCTACCCTTTTTACTAGTGATTTCTTGTGGTAAGTACTTGTTATTCTTGTGGTAGTACTTTTACTAGTTCTTTCGAAGCGCACCTCTTCCTGCCGATGTTGCTTCCCGTAAGAGTAATAAGGTGAAAAACGGGAATCAAGTGTCATTTCATCTTAAACAAAATCCAATCTGAACTGTGAAATGGAAGCTAAGTGGCATCCAATTAATTCTCTATGCCCTCCTTGTTCAAAAATGGGACTGCAGTATGTAGGCTTGCCTCAAAAAGAATTTGTCAACTTGAAGCAAACTACTAACATCAGCTTCTTGCAGTATATTTCCAGCAAATGCTTGAGACAGCTCTCAGCTCTCACCCACATCAAATGGTTCTTGCAGCCAATATCATGTTACCTACAAAGATTATGCCTAGTATGTTATGCTTATTTTCTTCAACTGAGGAAGAACATCCATTCATTATATATATTGATCAGAAAATCAAAATTTCAATAGCATAAGACCATAAATTTGTAAGTACTGGCTAATATAGCATCCACGAATTTGACAACGTACTGATCAGAACATCTTGACCATGTATTCAAGTTTGAGTATATTGCAGCTCATGGTTCACTATAAACGACACGTGTCGTAAATCTATGGTAAGTGGTCCCAGCAGAGAAAGGGAGACCGAAACCACTAGCTGTTCAGCAAATCCCTATTCGTCTCTCTAGTCTCTATCTATACCCCCAACACCCACACCGAGGAAGGGAGAACTGGAAACTGATCCCCACCCACCTCACGCTCCATTGCCCACGCGCTCCCTCCGCCATGGCCTCCTTGGCCATCGTCCCTGTAGAGATCCTCGTCCTCATCTTCACCTATCTGCGGTGCTTCGCCGAGCTCACGAGCATTGCGGGCGTCTGCAAAGACTGGCACAACGCCGTGCACGTGCCAACAAGTACTTTCCCTTACGGAGTGCACCTCTCCTTCCGATGTTGCTTCCTGTCGTGTCATCATCGATGCACCAGCCGTCTCAGCGCTACAGAGCCAGGGCACCGGTGACTGCCCGGGACTGGGGGGCTGCTCCATCGGCGATGCGAGCGATAGAGAGACTGTGACCTGTCAGCTAGTTAAGGAATTGGGTTTGGGAATGGGGAATTATTCGCCGGCCGTTACAAGTGTTACCCTGCAGTGGCGCAGCCCCAGCTGGCTCTGATGGGCAGCCCCAGAGAGAGGTTTTCAAGAGTAGTGTTCCCAGCTTTCAGGCCCAAACCGAGAGTGTGGTTGACTCGAATCTTAATAGGATTTGATCCATCATAACACATGTCCAAACTTCATCCTCAGATATTGCAATTAAGTTCATAAAGGACAAGACACCTTATACAATACAGTACTAGTATATGATACAGACAAATAGTAAAACTCGTTTTTACGGGCACAGGTCTTGATGTGCTGCTGCTGCTGCTGGCATCCCTCTCCTTTTGCGCGTCCAAACCCCAACTAGCGTGGTGCCAATCCATCCAAATGCATGCATTGACGCCGTGCACTGCGTGACATCTAAAGCATGTAATGTAACAGACACAAAAAACGTCAAAACGTATAGTGTGTGTGTGTGTGTGTGTCACACACACTTTTTACTAGTTATTTCTTGTTGTAGTAGTTTTACACATTATCTATATTTCCTGTGGGGCACTTCCCTTTCCTTATTGTATTTGTCCACTATATTTCATCCATTTCCTAAAGGCTGGCGGACTATGCTAGTGATTCCAGAACTTGAACAAGAGGTGAAGCTTCTCTCGGAATCAAAGTCTACTCGGAAGGTATGAATGACGCTCAGTTGCTTGTAACAAATTGATTCCTAACAATGAGATATTATTTATCAACTGGGCTCAGGCTTTGATATATTCCTGTGCATGATCAGCACTTCCCTAAAACTAATAATTTTCATGGTTGTTTTCTATTGAGATCTGTTCTCTAGGACTAGTTATACTGAAGGTAAACCAAAATATTGTAGCAGAAGCAGCTTGCCAACATATTTGAGGTTTACCTACTCAACTTGAGTTCTTTCAGAAAAAAAAATACTCAACTTGAGGCCAACATGTTATGTAAGTAGAAACTATCTTGACCAAAAAAGTATCAGCGGCTTGTTCATATCCCTTTCATTATGTGATATTGTTCTCAGACTTGGACATCCTGATATTGCCAAGTTCATGTGGTCTATTGTCACAAACATGCTCGTGGCCTTTTTTTACGTGCTATCTATTTCAGGAGCTTAGACATCTTAGAATGGAGCGTGATTCAATTGAAGACAGAATCCATCATCTTGAATGGTCTCTTAAGTAAGTTGAGAAAGTTTATTTAAGTTAAATTCTATTTTTACTGTTATGCAGTTACTCCATTGCTTTAGCTTTGAAGAACTAACTTGAATCTTCTAACATAATTGTACTTTTGCATCAAAGTAGCCTTGGGTCTTTCTAAGGAGAATTTCCAGGAAGATTTTATACTAATAAATTTGCTCAGCCACATTTGCTGTTAGCACTTCCAGTGGTCCTGCAAAATGCATGCAATATGCTTACAAGAAAGTTATGCTGATCAAACACATTCTTATGCTCTGGTTTTGTGTTCCATCCACTACTATTCGCCATGTGGTATATAAAACAAGTGTTGTTTTCCTTGATGGCTGTAGTTTCCTAATTGATTTGCCCCTCCTCTTTGTTCAGACTTGATGATGTCACAGAAAATCAGAAGGAGAAGTTGTTCTCTGAACATGACAATCTGCTGGTTGGTCCTTATTTTGATTCATTTCGTTGTCAATTCCCTCCATTCCAAAGTGTCGACTTGATATAGCAAAGTATCGACTCCTATACCGACTTGATATAGCAAAGTGTCGACTCCTATACGGGAGAATGGGCAATTATTCGGTGGAGATTGGTGGCCGTTATAACCCAGCTGCCCTAGGCTTTGATGGCCTGATGGGCAGCGTCCCAGTCGCCCAGAGAGAGTTGGGAGGAGGCTGTGTCAGGGAGAGAGGAGAGTTCTCAGCATTCAGGTCCAAACCGAGAGAGTGTGGTTGGCTCGAATCTTAATAGGATTTAGGCCCGGTTAGAGCGTCTAATTTCTTTTATCTTCTATTACTTTAATATTTATAGGCCATCTGTTTGTTTTCGCTTATAATCGGTTCACCATGGCCCTGTTTGGTAGCAATCACAAGCATAGAAAAAGTACGACTAAGTTGTTTTGATCTAGCTTCTGCTTTTTTTTCGAAAATTGCTGGCACGATTATGCCAGGCAAATATATTGATAGAGAAGAGGATCTAGCTTATGCTTTTTAGTACAAACAAAGATGTGGGGAACAATTAAGCTGTACTAGCGGAACAACAAAATTGTCACAGATGGGATAGTAAAGAATATAACATGGAGGCTATTTTTTCACTTTAAATTGGGCCAAAACATACTCTATGTGAGCTAAATAACAAAGAAATCGGAAGACAGAAAAAATAACAAAGCAATCAGGAATTCAGGATAAAATAAGCCTTTGCGCACGAATAACATAGCAAACATGCTCTATGTGTTTCAGAGGTATGATGGTCATGGGTTGGTTATGCGCGTGTGTGTGTGTGTGTTTGTAAACGTCTACGTATATTTGTCGGCATAGATGTCTGCAACACAGTGGGAGTTATTCTGAGAAAGTTAGGGTCGAATTGAACAAATAACATTGGATGTTTCAACGTGTAAGTAACACGTGTGTGTGTGAGAGAGAGAGAGAGAGAGAGAGTAGAGAGTAGAGAGTAGAGAGTAGAGAGTAGAGCTCTACAATGTTAAAGCATTGACATATATGTGCATTCCATACACTAGATAAAAAAATGATTCATGCTCCTTAAAACAATTGGTACATGTTGGTAAAAATTCTTTTTTCTTTGATGGGGACTTTTTATTTTCATTTTTAATTGCAGGAACAGAGAGAGCATGTTCGCCTCCTTCATCAGGAGGCTCAGAGGCAACATCATCAGAAGGTAATGTTCTCAGTTACACGACTGCTGAATTTGTTCCCTGCGCTTTTTATCTTTCTAATTGTTTGCTTTCCGTTTGAGTTCAGTTTCATAAGGTGTGGGGACAGCTCATGAAGACTGGGTACCAAAATTCCAGATTTGCTCATCAGGTGGCAGAACGTTCAACCACACTTGACAGTAAGTGCTTAGAATGTTACGGGCAGCAATGTGTGGACTGACACAAGATTTTATTTTCACTTGTTTCTGCAGGTTGAGAGATTTGCATGCTTGTACAGCAGCCAGGTTACAAACTTCGGTTTGTATTCCCCCAACAAGTACTATCGTCCGAGCGAAGATTACATGCCCCACGAGTTTGATGTGCTTGGGCTGTAGGAGCAGTCCCTGCTGCTGCTCGGAGTTTCCCGTTGTAATTGACCCGCAGCAGGATAGGAGGGTGATTTTTGTTGTGACGTAGTTTCCGTATTTATAGACAGAAAGCTTCACCCATTGGGAGCGAAGGTATAACTATAGTAACCACAGTTCTACATATAACAGTAACTTTATCTGTATATAAATATGTCCATAACTAGTGTAGGAGGCAAAGGAAAGCAGTCCCGATCATGTCTGGAGTGAACATTTTGAATTCAGCGTTTTGTTAAGTGTCCCAACCATAACCATTGCTAGCATGCTTAAGTCAGGCTGATGTTTCGCTGAAAAAAGCTTGTTTAGGCCCTATTCACCTTGCTGAAAAGCTATGGCTGAAAGTATTGGTTGCTGATTTGTTGTGAGAGAAAAACATTGTTCGCTGAAATAGTACGATTCATAAGACAAGCGAACAGGGTCTAGTACGCACAACGTGGCAACTTCTGACTTAATCTTTCAGCTTCAAAGGTTAGCGCTGCAAAGTCGGCGGCGTTTCAACCTGAAGCAAAGGACCCTTTTGAGTGCTTGTCCGGTTACCCCTCTTTGTGTGCTTGAGAGGGCACTGACTTCACCTGTCAGGATTTAAATCTTCACCCCCCGTAAACGATATAAACTCTAGTGATGCGTATTATTTGTGAGCATGCGATAAGAGTAGTAGACTCATGGTGTCTAGGAGTGTGTTGTGCGTTTGTGATGATGTGCAAATGTGCGCGTCATCCTTGTAATCGAAAAAAGGCCAAGCCATGTAAAAGAGAGGCACGCAACGGTCCAGAGAAGCCTATTTTCATTAACACGATGGGAAAACTACATATTATTTGCAAGCACACGATAAGTAGTAGACTTGTGGGGTGTGGGAGTGTGTTGTGCGTTCGTGATGGTGTTCAAACGTGTGCGTCATCCTTGTAATCGATGTTATGAAACGGTGTCTCTCGACAGACACCCCTTCGGTGATCTCATCAACGACGCCATGAACAGACACCTGTTCACGAAGTGATCTCATCCATCAATTACAAGATTAGTGGATAGGATTAGACAGTTAGTTTTACTCCAAAGGGCATGTCCTTTGGAAATAGTCGTGTCCCTTCATGACACCCCTTCATTTGTATAAATATATTTCAGAGATCAATGAAAGTGACAGTTCTCCCTAATCTTATTCATTTACATTCACGCTTCAACACATTATCAGCACGTTGCTCTGCGAACAAGAGGAAGAACAGAGGCACGCATGCCTCTCGACCATCACCGTTCCCTCAGAGTTCGCCGAGAACAAGAAGAATTCGAGGCCCTTCGATGAAGAAAGAAAACAACGGCCATACATCTAGCCTCACCGGCGACGACAACAGCCAGCGGCCGTCAACGCTCGCTGCAACGCTGGCAGTATCGGCATCGGCATCCTGCATGAAGAAAGAAGGAACAAAGGCCTATGGCAGGAACTGAAGCATCAGGTCTTGTACGAGAAATTGGAACGAGATGCTACTGGCTTCCATCATCGAACAAGAGTACAGAGCAGTAAGAAATCATTGTTATTTATTAATCTACGATGGTCTTACCTTTCTGAGAAACAGCAAGATTCTTTCTTCCAACTACTCCTTCGCCGGCGAGCCTATTGCGGCTGTGCGACGGAATTAGGACCTGAGCCCCGACAGATGCCTGGCACGTGGATCCGACTGACGGCAGCGGCCGCGCGTTTGCACAACGGCGGTGACGCGCACACGCGCTAGGGCGGCAGCAGTGTCTGCCGCCTGGACGGCTGTGGCTAGGACCGAGACGGCTGGCGGCCCCGCCCCTGCGCCTCGCGCGCGGCGGCCAGCGGCTTCTGCGCTGACGGCTCGCGACATCGCGCCGCGGCCGGCGCTCCGCGCGGTCGGCCTGCCTCCCGCACGGCCTCGCGCCCGCGACTACGGCCTTGGCACGGCGGCCCTCCCGCGACTGCAGCCTTGCGCTTGGCAACTAGGAGCCACGCCCGACGGCCAGGCTCTCGAGCGGCCCCCACGCTCGACGGAGGCGATCCTGTCCTCGCCTCACGCGCCTGGCGGCTCGCGGCTTCGCGCCCCCGCGGCCGGCGCTCGTGGCGGCCAGGACCGCAGCCACAGCAACGAGCTCGCTGCAGAGGACGTCGCACACCTCCTCCCGCGCCTCGCTACGGCGGCCAGAGGCCAGCCCGGCGGCGGCCGGTCCCCATGGAGGCGGCCGAGAGGCCCCTGTCCGAGAGGACGGGCGATGGAAGAACCCGTCCATGCCTTCGCGTGGATGGGATAAGATTCTGCGGTTTTTGCAGAAAAATCCCCCTTATTACTTGTGAATTACATAATAATTTTCATGAATTATTATTGTAATCCAGATTCATGATTAAGCCCTCAGGTTTTAACATGTCTGTAGCATACTATATTTACCTCATGTAAATATTAATTTTAGACCCTAGGTTTAAAATGCAATATGATGCACAATATTTACCTCAGTAAATAAGTATTTTTGGGACCCATGTGTCATAAAAAAAGCATCATGGCATGTACTGCTGCAGATGAATTTACCACTGTAAATTCGCTTTCCAGATCCTATGTTTTCTGAAAAAAAATTTAGTACTGTTCAAAGCGTTTGTTTAAATTGACAAACCCAATAAACATGTGTTATTATTACATTGTTCAAAATGTTTGTCCAAATTGGCAAACCCAATAAACATGTAATATTATTATCACGACCTTTGTATTGCAATTACTTTGTTATTTGCAATTTTTATTTTATGTTAAGCCCATTTATGCTTTGGGCCTGTTCGTTTGGTGGAATTCTGGAGGAATTTGGATGATTTGGAGGAATGCTAGAGGAATTTGTGAGAGAAAAGCACTGTTTCGGATGAAAAAAGAAGCGGATCAAACCGGATTTAAGGGCACGTGAACGGGGCCTTTATTTAAAGCTTATAGCGCTTACATTTTTAATGCAAAATCCATTAAGTGTATTACCTCATTATTTGTATAACACAAATGTTTCACATTGTATGTTGGCCATACACAAGGTAGCGCCATAGTTGCTACTGTGGGATCTACACTAAATTCTTAGTGACTATCCTCAATGTGCGTACCTAACATCACAAATTGGAATATACGGTCTACATCTTTTTACAAGATGACTACCATTAATCAGCATTCCTATTGGCCATACACAAGGTAGCACCATAGTTGCTACTGCGGGATCTACACTAAGTCCACAACTTAGTGACTATCCTCAACGTGCGTATCCAATTCGTTTGCGGATTAACTAAGGTCTACACCAATCTTTTGATGATTACCTTAAATTGTGTTTATACAAATTGCATACACCACTTGGCATCTACTGTTCAACAGACTATGTCCATATTATTAGAGGTCTACATCTTTATGATGACTACCTCTAATGTGTTAGCATAAATGAGGTTTACACTATTAGTGAGATAGATCTTGTCTCCTATTTATTTTGCATTAATTAATACAGCATCACCATAGCAATTTTAAATTTACCCTTAGTGTAAATTCAGAAAATCTATGGTTTAAACCTTGTTAGAATAATAGCCAGCAAAGAGTTTGATCTCTTGCTCTTGATGGTCACCATTATCTAACATAGTCAATGGACGTAATGTTAAACTTGATGTTCTATGGATTCATGGCAATATTTGATGCTCCTCATAAGAGAGTATCGCCACTTATGATCAATTTAAATATAGAGTTTTATTTAAATAAAGCACCATTTACATCCAGATCACACGTATGTGTATCTCAATGGGTGCAAATCAAGCACTATATGGCTAGCTTTCAATGAGTGATACAAACAACACAAGGCAGTCATTCTGTCCAATGCCAACTATGATTCGCCACAACTTTATCTCTACGATCTTAAGTCCACTTGAGAATATAATTATGTTGTTTCAAAATATCCCCCAACATTACGTTTTCGTGAAAGCACATAACTTACCGAATGTATTCTAGATTAATTCCTACATTACTTCAGGTCTAAGTGTATGATAAACTCTTATCGAGAAATCATCATTAGCATTATAGTGATGCTCTATCATCTAAAGTACATTGAATTTTCAGAATCATTACAAGTTCGATGTCATGCAGTAATGCCATCCATAGAACTTTAATGGTAAGATTTAACGCAAAAAGAAGTAGCAGCCCCGTGCATTATTTAGGGTCAATGCATTTCCCAAATATGACAGAACCATATTTTGTCCCAATTGTGTATGTTACAACCACACAACTTGGAAATGTCATGCCTTAAAACATTTAATTGATCGGTATTATAAATTCATTGGACATAAATATCCGACTCAACAATAAAGATATGAAGCACGCTTCTATCTTCAACCTGACACCACTAGTACGGCTAGTTGTTCATAACAAGTTTCATGAAGAAACCAAGTAGCAACCAAACACTTAATTAATAAGTGGGTCTTATGAGCATGGAGAGCACGATCATCGAATTTACTTCGCTTGATCCATTTTGGAGACCAAAATTTGTCTCCCATTTACAAAGATACCTAGTATCTTCGTTCCATTTTGGTGTTGTAATATAAAATGCTATCATCAATTTTAATTGAATATCACAATAATGTGTCATCACATTTGATATTCCATTAATTAACTTGTATGTAATCTATATATTTGTAAAGAATGTCATTATATTCTTCATGCTATATATAAACCTATACGGGAGTCAATCCAAATGCAAAGAGGAATTTTGCTTAGTGGATAGTTGCATCACAAACTCTATATATAGGAAAGCAAAATATTTCTAAACTCTTACATATTGACAAGAAAATATTTTGTTAATCACTTGACGCGATGTCATGATAGTGGGTTTTGGTCGTGCTACTATTATA